AATATTAATCCCCAAAGCCCAGACATCGACGAAAATAAATTTCCAGAGGAAAATAAGTAGTTTTTAAGTTCCGGGGGGATATTGCAGGGGTTGTTGATGCGCCAGCGAGCGCGTTAAACAATTTTCTCGCACGTCCGGCGTGAAACGCGATAACAGAGATTTCGGGATGGCGCGGGACGCGGGAGAGATCCCGAAGAATAATCCCATCGTTTCTGGTCGGACGTCAGAAACCCAGCGGCGCACAGTCACGGGGAAACACCCCCGCCGTCCCCGTCTGTGGCAGGTTGAGTTATCTTTACGAGTTCGGACGCCTCGTTCCCAGCCACGTCGCTCTAACGAGCCCCGAAACACATCGGGAACACGCTCCCGTGGATCCCCGGACGCCGGAAACGACGGGTCGGCTCCGTATCCAGCCGGTTCTCCTCGCGTGTACGCGCCTCGAGAAATACTTTTCGTATAAATTGTCGCGCAGGAATTCCACGAGGATGCGCCGAACAAAACGCGGCCACGGTTTCGAGCACGCGGCGAGAAGCGAGAAATCTCGTAAAAATGCAAACTTCTCCGCCCCGTCGAAGTCGAGCGCGAAGGACCCCGGTCGTTGTCGTCGCGACGCCCAAAAACTTGCTGGTCCTCGAACGCCAGAGAACTACCCCTGCAACCCTTGGAAACTCGAATATTATTCGGCGCGTTCGAGCGTGGATCCAAAATGAGCGTTGAGGGTTCCGAGGTTTCGAAGAAAGTTTATTTTCGAAATTATTTAATTTTTTCTGCGAAGGGGATGGTCCTAAAGAGTCTCTCGGAGGGTGGTTTTGTCTGTTTTATCTGTGTATAAATAAATATATTATTCTCGACCGTCGTCACATTGTGCGAGAAACCACGTGTGAAATATTCAGCTAGATTATTTAATAGATTTTGGTGGTGCATAATTGAGAGCGTGTAGTATGTCGATTAAAATTTATACGAACGTGTTAAGCATCCTCCCCTAATTGATATCATGCATTTTAAACGGAACAACGTCTAGTTTGTCAGTTGAAATTCGCGGCTCGCGATTTCGTACGAGTTGCAGAAAGAAACTCTGTAATTTATATCGGTGAGGTGGAGGGACAGTCCACACGTGGAATCGCGAAATTGTCGAGCAAGAGAAGTAGCAGGTATTATAAAATGATATAATCAGGGAGACATAGAAAGAGTTTGCCAGAGAAAATGTTGAAAATTCACGGTTAAGTGCTCCACAATTAACTTCGGAACTTTTCTACGAGCGTGGAAAACGTGTGAATCTACGAACGACTCGTCGAGCACTCAAGGAACGCAGATATAATGGTCTTATTGCTCGGAAAAAGCATCACGCGAATGGAACAAACAGAAAGTGGAGATTAAACTCTGGGAAAAAGTTGGTCTTTTGAGATAAAACGATTGTATAATGATGCCATTTTTGCCGATGAGGGAAAAACGCAATTTTTTGGCTCCGATGGCAGACGTATTACTGTCTGACGGAAAGTTAAGGACGAACTGAAATATGAAAGCTACGATCCCGTATGAAGCTTGTTTCTTTCTTTCCATAACTAAAAGATGTAAAAGGACTCGCCACCTTCTTCTTAAAGAGACTGAAACCAATTTTATTTCTTTAGGATTCGACCAGCAACATGTCATCCTTCTTGTTTCTTTACACCTTCCCGAATAATGTTACAAAGAGAATCAATATTTTCGAATTTAAAAAGTCTCGTGTTCAATTCCAAAACACAAACGCTTCTCCCACGCACGAATACTCGAAATTCAGTTAATCAATGACCGATTACTTGCTTCAAACCTTGGTCGAGCTAAAATTTAAAGTTCAACAGGGTTCTTAAATGACTTCAGAAGTCCGACACGGCGACAGTCGTCCTACGATTAAATCAGTCTTTTTATTCCTTGCATTTCCTTGCAGTTTATAGTTTTAAGATTATCTCAGGCGAGTTCCTTTTAAGTGTGGAAACTTTGAAAGCCCTTTCCTCGGAATCGCATCCTTCAGCGGAAGTAACATTCCGGAGACTGATGCAGTCTTCGATTCGAAATTTCCAACCTTTAAAAATCGTATCCAATTCGTCGAATTAGAATTGCTACGATATATCTTCGAAGAACCAGAACCAATTAAAATTTCCATCGGAGACGAAGCTGTCGAAAATCGTTTCGAAATCTATCGATGGTTCTCAGTTTTATGGGAAGTTTAAGGAAGTTTTAGAAACGGGGAAGGAAAGTCTTGAGAAATGGGGCAGTTCTGTTCCAGCGATCCTCCAATGTTACGAAATCAGGGAATACAAAATGGATTCCATCGACTGGGTTAGTTTACCGTTATAAATCCACATCCAGCTCGCGTTATGCTCGCACGCTTCTCGTTATTGATTCCCGCGTAGCATAGAATTTTAAACCGATGCATTTGTTCGTGCAACAAAGTTTCGTATCGCTTCGTCACGTGCCCGACTACGTATATTGCATCACTTTGTATTTACTTTCCAAACGTTACCGTCCTGGACGTTTCTAAAACCGTTTTCCTCCGCGTCGCTCGAAACGGGTCGCATCTCAATGCAAATTCAATACATAATTTAGATAGAATTCCAAGAATATCAGTGCACAATTTCAGGCAACAAATATTTCTATTAAGGAAATATTTCTATTTCGACTCGAAAATAGCAATTTATCGACGCTTGAAACAGTCTTTCCCAACCACTTACCGATCCAAATATATCCAATTTAGAATTATTTCTGTCTTTCCAGGAACCACTTACCTTATTCCAAAGGCAATAATAAAATGTATAAAATTAGATCAGAAGAAGTGGCGACCACCAAATATTTTCTCACTTAAAATCGTTAAAAATAACGTACAGGACAGTTTTACAATTCCCAACCACGACTCGATGTCCCCACGAAATCTTTCATTTCACCCCTTTCGAACCCAAAGGAACACGTGTTGCATAGTTTCTCGAGCGCTATAATGCACGTAAAATTGAAGTACACTTGGCCAGTGTTCCCCGCGAAACGTCTTCTCGATTCGCGTTCTCCAAGGATTAACGTGTTTCGTCGCAGCAAAGAAGTTTCGCGAGGGTCGCGAACGACGGCTCTCGTTGAATATTTCGCGCGGAAATTTTCAGGGGATTAAACGAAAATTGAAAGAGTTAAACGCGTCGGCATTTTTCACCGCGTTGCGAGAAAAAGAAGACGGAGAGAGGGGGAGGGGGGAAGTCACCGTGCGGGATTACGGCGAGCTTAAAATTTTTAATTTTGGTTTACGACGCGACTGAAAATCATATTTGCGGCCGGCTCGCATACGCGAAGGGCGGAAACAACGTCGGTTCGACAATTTCATTTTACCGGCGGCTACTTTTTGCGTTTCTCCTCCACGCTCGATGAACGTTAATTACGCGGATCCCTTCGACTGTTCGCGAATTCGATCGATACAGCTGATTTCAACGCTGGACCCACTTCGTCGATGCTTCGAATTTCTGATCGAAGATTAGACACTCCTTTAACGAATAAATCAGAATCGTTTGCTATTTTGGAACACTTTGTTTCGCGACAAAATAATTTACCAGATACGTTTTCTTTTCAATCTGACGGATATAGTTTGCGGTGCACTGAAAAATCCAATTATTCAGTTTAGTTTTGTTATTTTCTTGCGACGAAGACACGGTGTCGTCGCCTGTAAACGAGTTATAACCCGGCGTAGGAAAATGCATCGCGTCCGATGGCTCCGGTAGCAGATGTTCGCGTCGATAAACAAAAGTTTTGTTATCGCGCAATTTCTCTGCCAGCGTCGCGTTTAATCAAATTAACGCTATTAAAGTCGATGCGCGCTCGGAGTTCTCTCGCGTGAATTTGATCGCGCTTAATCCAATTGACTCGTGTTTTCCGTTCTGTAGTCTTTCGCGATGCAAATTACGCGAGCTAGGGAAAATCGTTCGCGAATGCGTTAACGTACTGAGCCATAGGAGCAAATTTAAATCTATTTAAACGCCAAACCGATGGAGATTCGAAAAATCGGAGACTGAGATTTCAAACTGTGCGTATGTACGTGCATAACTCCACTGCTGAAAGTTTCGCTTTAATTTCTAAGCAAACGCGTTTATATCACGAAAGATTTCGTCCTCGCGATTTCGGAATATCGAGTTCTTTTCTGGATTTCGTTCAACCTTCGGAATATTGTGTAGATATATCGAATTTCAAGCACTTAGCAAGTTGCAGCCACGGATAGTCCTGTCACAGAGTCCTGGAGTCGAACAATGCTTTGAAGGACTGTGCCCACAAGAATCCTCTTTCTCGAGGCGAGCTTTTAAAAAGACGAAGGTGAATTCCCGCGAGCTTCAACGAGCGATGAATTGATAGCAAATGAAGTTCGTCAATTTATAATACATCTATTAATTTGATATATCTACCAAGCTAGATGGATTTGCAAGAATCGAACGATTCGTGAATATTTGCGTGTCGATAAAAATACCAGAAAGATCTATAAATTCGTACAAGTTTGTAAGTTAAACTTGTTTCCAATAATATTATATTGGTCTCACTTATGTACAGAAAAATTTAATGAATTGATACTATGTAAGAACGAATAAATAAATAGAGGTCCAGTTTACATAGAATCGAAATCCAAATATTCCACGTTTCTTGACGAGTTATTCCAAGTGATGTAATGGTTCCGAATTTTGAACAAAAAAGGACGGAATAGGGGTTAATTTCTCATTGAACCGTAAGTAGGATGGCGGGCCTAAGTAAACGGAGGAGACACGGCTCGACATCTGACGTGGAATGGTATCCAAGACCAAAACACGCGTTTCCATGGCAGGGAATCTTCGACCTCATCAATATGCATCGCGGCAGCCCATTGTAAATCGCTTGGATGGACCGGTCGAAGGAGGTTGCGGATCGTCAAAGGGAATTCACGGATGCGCGACCGCCGCGTCTAAGTGGCGCGCGAGCGTTCCAGCTGTATCGCGTTAATGGAGTAACGAACAGGAATGTGAACTGACCTGAGGTGGATAGTGATCCGGCATGGCGTGGAGGGCTTCCCTGTACGCGGACAGGGCCCTTTGTAATCTACCCTGATCGGCGTAGAGGACGCCTAATTGAAGGAGGGCCTGCACTCTAGCCTCCTCGTGAGCCCTTTTGTCCTTGAGACCGGACCCGTCCAAGGATGCTCCGGTCCGCAAAACCGCAGCAGCCTCCGTTCTTCGTCCGACCGCGGCCAGCGCCGCGCCCAGATTCACGTAAGCCACTGCAAAGACAAACGACAAGGATCATGAGCACCCAGATCTCTCGGGACCTCCAACCACGCGCGTACAGATCGCCCATCAATTCATATAAATCGAACGATCCCCCCTTTCCTTCACACTTCTTCCCCGAGACTCTCTTAATCCTTCCTGGCCATCTTCTACTTTTCCAAGGACCTAAATCAAACCCACACGCTTAAAAATAATTCCTCTTTCACGAGGAAAATGAAACAATTTTAATTTAAACAGATCGCCCATCAATTCATATAAATCGAACGATCCCCCCTTTCCTTCACACTTCTTCCCCGAGACTCTCTTAATCCTTCCTGGCCATCTTCTACTTCTCCAAGGACCTAAATCAAACCCACACGCTTAAAAATAATTCCTCTTTCACGAGGAAAATTAAACAATTTTAATTTAAACAATATTTCGCTCGATATTTGCCTCCGATTGTTTTTTTTTTTGTAAAAATTTGGTATCGAATTCTTGTTAGCTTCCGTTGTGAATAGGAAATATATAACAAAGACGGAAGAAGAGTGTCCATTGTCTTGGAACAGTCTAACCACGCGTATTAAATATACTAAAACTTTAGACGCATGCAGTTCCAAAACTACTGGTGTTTTATTTATAATTCAATCGCTGTTAGGAGCGGCAAGGCTTCCCCTTTAAAGTGGTTTTTGGTTTTTGTCGATCGGACTTTCCGTTTTCGAGATATCGTAATTTATGTAAAGGGGTAATTTTTTTAATTCGACTATCGCTGTCTTCGTCTGACGCGTCGCGCCGGATCTCTCTTTCTCGCACGTGTCTCGTGACCGAGTGGTCGCGTGACCTACTTTCTCCGAGTCACGTGACTTGACAAGAATGTAAACAAACGCTTCGGACACTTATATCTCCGGAACTAGCCACCGCATCGACTTGAAATTAAAATCGCTATATCTCCGGAACTAATAACGCTATCGACTCGTACAAACGCTCGTTTTAAAGGGCATTTCATCCCCTATCCAATGACTACACAAACTACCCCATTTTATGCTGTCTTCCATGTCTATTTTTACATTTACTTTGACGCTACATACCCAAAGAAGTTTCAACAATTCCTACTGATCCTACAATCAATGAAAATTAATTTAAATATAAATGCAGGAGGTTTGCGTAATTACTAGCCAGTACTTATCCTTAAATAATTCTTTTCTCCAAAACTGACTACGGTATCGTCTTGCAACAAAATTCGTTTTCAATTACTAGAAAGGAAAAGTAAATTCCAAGGAACAATAAAATTACAGTTGACGTATACAATTATTACAGTTGTTGGAACGAAAGTGTTGCAGCATTTTTGCGAATAATAGAAGTTTCTTCTGCCAGTTTCTTGCCGAACGGAGTTGGTTGTTTTCCTGCCAATGGTCGAGACCCGTTGTAACAATAACAGTTACGGAACAAAAGCTCTTAATATCGTGGCATTTCCATTAAATGATTCGATTGTTATTTAAATTCGGTTTTGGTTTATAATCTTCAGAATGGTACCATTATGAACTGCTGGACATTCCAACGAGTTTATCGTTTATGGAACGCGAATAAACGAATTCCTTTAAACCAAACAATTAAAGCGATCGATAGCGAAGCGTAATGAAAATACGGCGAACCGCGAATTGGTTTGGCCGCTTAAACAGTTGAGCCATGAAAGGCGAGAACGGTTTGATATTTTTTAGAAAGGTACGGTTCTTCCGGTGTGTTCGTTTCCGCTGCTAAAAAGGACACGGATTTGTTTAACTTTATTTTCACCGATTTATCGTAACGCGTTTCAAACCATTGACACCACCGCAGAATGGAGCGACGAATAACAAAATATTGTAATAAATTATACACTCCCGTTCAATGATGAGATTGATTTCATTCGAATCACACGTCCCATAGCCCTACCTTTTCCAATACTGCCCGAAATAATTTCGGACCGCCTCGTGGAAGTCGAGAGACGAAGGCTCACATTTGTAAAAAAATTAATTCACTTTTATTATTCCTATATATGAGCGTACATATGTATATCATTTCAGATATCACTTCTGATACATTTGGCAACGTATAACCATTACTGCTGGCTACTGAAAGTCTCTCCCAGCCTCTGATGGCCTCTCCTGACCGCCGCTTATATTTCTGACGACGTATAACAATTGCAACATGCCACTGCTTGCCCCTGCTGGTCTCTGCTTGCCATTCCTTGCCACTGATGGCCTCCACTGGCCTCCGCTGGCCTCTGCTGACCACTGCGGACCACCACCGATACTTCCGACAACGTGTGACGATTACTACATGTTACTGCTTGCACCTGCTGGTCTCTGCTTGCCTCTGCAAGCCTCTGCTGGCCCCTGCTGACCACTGCTGACCATCACCGATGCTTCCGACAACGTGTGACGATTACTACATGTTCCCCCTTGCCCCTGCTGGTCTCTGCTTGCCTCTGCAAGCCTCTGCTGTCCCCTGCTGACCTCTGCTGACCCCTGCTGACCCCTACTGACCCCTACTGACCCCTACTGACCCCTACTGACCCCTACTGACCCCTACTGACCCCTGCTGACCCCTGCTGACCCCTGCTGACCCCTGCTGACCCTTGTTAACAACTTCTGCCCTGATATATATGTATTAAAACATTGTATAATGTAAATCTATTGCAATAAATGATATAATTACAAAGAATTCTATGTGTTCTCATCATTTCTTACCTTTATTTTCCTCTCCAAGTCATTACCTTAGTTCTAAGACTCCCTGAAACTCCTTGGTTTCCCTGAACCCACTAGGAAGTCCTCAAACACCTCGCAAGTCCTGAAACTCAGAACTTTGCTAAAAATTCAGGGTTTCTAAGAAATTCCAGGACTTTCCAGCTGTTTCAGGACTTTCCAACTGTTTCGGGGCTTTCCAGCTGTTTCAGGGCTTTCCAGCTGTTTCAGGCCCTTTTCGTCGTTTCAGGACTTTTTCGTTGTTTCAGGGGGTTTAGTTGTTTCAGGGCTTTTTCGTTGTTTCAGGCCTTTCCAATTGTTTCAGGGGTTTTAGGGGTTTCAGGGATTTTTAGTTGTTTCAGAGATTTTTAGTTGATTCAGGACTTTTTCGTTGTTTCAGGGATTTTTAGTTGTTCCAGGACTTTTTCGTTGTTTCAGGACTTTCCAGCTGTTTCGGGCCTTTCGAATTGTTTCAGGGCTTTCCAGGTGTTTCAGGCCTTTCCAATTGTTTCAGGACTTTTTGGGAAATCGGCGAAATTTTCGAGCAAAAATTTTTCGACGAAAAAAATGAATTCTCGATTTCGCCAACAAGTACGAGAGCTGGACACTTTGAGAATCCAATTTTAACCGGGAAAACGGTCTCTTAAAACTAAGGCAATGATTTGGAGAGGAAAAGGAAGGTAAAAATGATGAGAAGACATAGAATTCTGTTAAATTATATCATTTATTGCCATAGATTTACATTATACAAGGCTTTAATATATATACATCATATCAGAAGTTGTCAGCAGCGGTCAGCAGTGGTCAGCAGAAGACAGCAGAGGTCAGCAGAGGCATGCAGAGACCAGCAGGGGCAAGCAGTAACAAGTAGTAATCGTTATACGTTGTCAGAAGTAACAGGAGTGGTCAGCAGCGGTCAGTAGAGGGCAGCGGAGGCAGGCAGAAGTCAGTAGTAATCGTTGTACGTTGTCAGAAATATAAACGGTGATCAGCAGAGGCCAGCAGAGGCATGCAGAGACCAGCAGGGGTCAGCAGTAACAAGTAGTAATCGTTATACGTTGTCGGAAGTATCAGGTGTGGTCAGCAGTGGTCAGCAGGGGCCAGCAGTGGCTTGCAGAGGCAAGCAGAGACCAGCAGGGGCATGCAGTAACATGTAGTAATCGTTACACGTTGTCGGAAGCATCGGTGGTGGTCAGCATTGGTCAGCAGAGGCCAGCAGTGGCAAGGAATGGCAAGCAGAGACCAGCAGGGGCAAGCAGTGGCATGTTGTAATTGTTATACGTCGTCAGAAATATAAGCGGAGGTCAGGGGAGGCCAACAGAGGCTAGGAGAGGCTGGCAGTAACCAGTAGTAATCGTTGTACGTTGTCGGAAGTATCAGGTGTGGTCAGCAGTGGTCAGCAGGGGCCAGCAGAGGCTTGCAGTGGCAAGCAGAGACCAGCAGGTGCAAGCAGTAACATGTAGTAATCGTCACACGTTGTCGGAAGTATCGGTGGTGGTCAGCATTGGTCAGCAGAGGCCAGCAGTGGCAAGGAATGGCAAGCAGAGACCAGCAGGGGCAAGCAGTGGCATGTTGCAATTGTTATACGTCGTCAGAAATATAAGCGGAGGTCAGGAGAGGCCAACAGAGGCTAGGAGAGGCTGGCAGTAACCAGTAGTAATCGTTGTACGTTGTCGGAAGTATCAGGTGTGGTCAGCAGTGGTCAGCAGGGGCCAGCAGAGGCTTGCAGAGGCAAGCAGAGGCAAGCAGAGACCAGCAGGTGCAAGCAGTAACATGTAGTAATCGTCACACGTTGTCGGAAGCATCGGTGGTGGTCAGCATTTGTCAGCAGAGGCCAGCAGTGGCAAGGAATGGCAAGCAGAGACCAGCAGGGGCAAGCAGTGGCATGTTGTAATTGTTATACGTCGTCAGAAATATAAGCGGAGGTCAGGGGAGGCCAACAGAGGCTAGGGGAGGCTGGCAGAAGTCAGTAGTAATCGTTATAAGTTGTCAGAAATATAAGCGGCGGTCAGCAGAGGCCAGCAGATACCAGTAGAGACCGCGAGACGTTGCCAGTAGCCTGTAGTAATCGTTATACATTGTCAGAAGTATCAGGAGTGGTCAGCAGCGATCAGCAGAGGCCAGCGGAGGACTGTAAGAAAATTCAAAAGTGTGCCTTTCTCTCTCGACTCCCACGAGGCGGTCCGAAATTACTTCGGGCAGCTTTGGAGAATCGAGAAAGAGGGCATGTTTGCCTTTGTCGACTTTCCGAAACTCCACGAGCTCACGTACACGCGATCTGGCATGCGTGAGTAGGG